AAATAATGATATTGTGGGTGCTGAGGAGAAGGAGAGTTAGGAAGAGGATACAGTCCCATCTTAAGAAGCTCTACCTTTAGGATATTATCTAAATGTACTAAAATACCCTCAGGTGGTTTCAAAATTCGGACTTTTGTTGAGGTAACAAACTTGGTTGTAAGATAAATTGGGAAAAAAAATTGACAAAAAAATGGTAGAGTTCTTACCCCAAGACTAATGGACAACAAAGGTGCTATGCAACAAGTTTCCCTTCCATTTTGTGTAACAAAAACAATTGTTTTTCACAGAACAAGGTTTTTACGACAGCAGTTAATAAAGTGTGTAAAAGTCATCGTAAAGTGATGCGATTTTATGTGGTCTTAAAATGCCGAATGTTTTCACAAAGGTCTTGCAGGTTATAGAATGAATACAAGAATTCATTTATTTATAGCCAAACCTTTCACTATCGCATGAGTTAGGAAGGGTAAGCACTAGGTTTGAGCCTACATTAAATTAAGAGTTTCCACCGAGGTATGACCAGGATGGAAGACACAACTTAGGTGCGTGGTGACCAGGTGGGAAGCAGGAAGCAGCGATGGTTATGAAAACTTTGACTTGGGGGCTGACAAGATGGCTTGGTGGATGAAGTGCTTTCTGCCAAAGCTGAGGATCCGAGTTCAGTCCTCAGAAACCTACATGATGGAAGGGGAGACCTGACTGCCACAAGCTGTACTCTGAACTTCACATGTGCTCCATGGTACGTGCACACACACACACACACACACACACACACACACACACACACACCACATAAATAAATAAGTGAAAGTATTCAAAACTTGGTATCTTCAAGACTTACAATGTAGATTTTTCAGCCCCATCAGTGTGTGTTATTTTTCTCTGCTACTCTATAATAAATGCTTATTCCTCCCCTAAACACTGCTGAGATTTGAGTCAATTTGTTGCATCACTGTGACTGTGTGTCTGAGGCCCTGCAGAGATGAGCAATCCCATTTTTAAAGTAGATTGCCTGAACTTAGGCATCTTAACAACATACAATGCAAACGCTGCGGATCACAGCCACGTTATGAACTTACTGCTTAGCAGGAGCCTAGACAGTACTATCTGGAGGTTCTGTCTGTGATGCTGTTGCGTTGAACTCTTGTAATTACCAGTGTTGAGTTTGCATTTGACTGGATCAGTTTATTTCTGTCTAAAAAGTTTTATCATACAGAACACAAACTGTTAGAGGAAGAGTCTGTGAGACTTCTTTGGGCAGGGAAGGTCGCAGTATAACATTGTGCTTCAGAAAAACAAAAAGCAAACTCAAACTCTGCCTGAGTGAGATGGTGGGGATAGAGAAAGCAAGAAGGTTAAACTGATGGATCCTTTTAGTAGCTTTCTCGGGGAGGAGGCAGTGCTGGGAACTACGTCCAGGGCTTTGCATGTTCCAGGAAAACACTCTACCCCTGGATCACACCCCCAACTCACTCACACACACATTTAAAAGATGTTTTCATCATTATTTATTGTTAGTGCATGCACACATGTGTGTCAGGGTATTCCTGTCACAGCACGCATGTGGAGGTCAGAGGACAACTTCATGGACTTGGTTCTCTCCTTCCACTTTAATGTGTGCGTTCCAGGGCTCTAACACAGGTCATCAGGCTTAAACAGCCATCACCTTCACTGGCTGGCTGCCCCTCTAGCTCTCAACAGTACATATCAATAAACGGTAGAATAACAAACTTTATTGTGACCATAAAAAGACCTTATATGCCTCCCCCATGCTGCTAGAGTTCTGCCATTATATATCCATATCTCTCGTTTTTTTTTTCCTTTTATTTTATGTGCATTGCTGTTTTGCCATGGGTGTTGGGTCCCCTAGAACTGGAGTTACAGACAGTTGTGGGTGCTGCAAATTGAACCTGGGTCTTCTGGAAGAATAGTTAGGGCTCTTAACTGCTAAGCCATCTCTCCAGTTGCCCATGTCACTTCTTAAGGGAAGGTTTTTACAAAAACGCGTGGTACTATTGGGAGTTCCCTCAGGCTGTTTTTTCTGCTATGTCTTTCAATGCTTGGCTGTTAGTTCCCTGTTAAGAATGAGTCATCATTATTACCATCACTGATCCTTTTTGTCTTCCTAAAAAAATAATCTCTAAGAAAAAAACAAGGCCACATCTCTAAATGATGCATGCCACTGTCTCTGTGTGCTTTCCCAGCATTTGGGATAGATTAGTCTTTTAAATGCACGCTCCTATTGCTAGACATAACCACTGTGTGCAGCTTTGTAAAAAGAAGACTGACATTGCTTGGATTTGTTACACTACTGGAAGTAGGTTATTTTGTATAGTTGGCGGTAGGAATTCAGCCAGTGTCCCAGGAGTCAGCAGAAACAGTTTACCAACAACAAACACGACGTCTTGAAGGTAGATGAAAGCTGCACTTCATTACTGTGGTTGTGTTGTATTTTGCATGTGTGTGGACATGTGCATGCCACGGTGTACTTGAGGAGATCAGAGCACAACCTTGCAACGTTGTTTCTTTTCTCCCACCGTGGGATCCAGGGATCAGACTCAGGTCATGAGGCTTGGGCCATGAGATGTTTTATCCACTGGGCCATCCTACCAGCCCCAGTTACGTTTTTATGGATGTAAGAAACTTCTTTGGAGTTAACACATCCAAATTCTTCCTGTATTATATACAAGTTTCTTAATAGGGTGACAAATCTTTGCTGTGATAACAGTGGCAGCATGGATGAGCAGTGTGTCATTAAGAATGGTCCCAGTGACCACAGCTGAAGGACAAAGTAACGTTAAGTAAAATATGTGTGTACATATTCAAAGCCTCCAAACGTTCCAAAGCACCAGCATTCTGGATGTCTTTCGCACATCTTCCTTATAGCTTCAAACCATATTGCCAGACCCAGACATCATCAAATGATGCAATTATGCTCAGAATATTTGATTTTGAAAGGCAGTGAAGTGTCTAATACAGTTCAGAAATATTTTGAAAAATGATTAAATTTTAAATGGTTTTTGGATTTGAGAAGCACCAGTTACATTTTTTTAAGTAGCTTATTTGAATAAGTCATTCCTTACAGATACAAACACTTCTTATAGAATGGCCTTTAGAGTTAAATTAAGCATTCCAACTAAAGACGGGGACCTTTAAAGCCCTTGGCCAGCTCTGTTTACTAACATGGTTTTGTTTTTGAGACAGGGTCTCACTATGTGGCCCTGGTCAGCCCACAACTCTCAGAGATCCTCCTGCCTTGGTCTCTCAAGTGCTGAAATTAAAGGCATGCACCACCATACCTGGCTAACATTGTTTACTTTTAAAAGAGAAAAGTGTCTGTCTTTACTTATTATTTCATACATGCAAAAGAAACTTTAAAAATGGAAGCCTTATTCTCAAGAGAATTTCCAGTGACAGACTGAGGGCACAGCTGAAACCACAAGCATACTCCCTGTGGGAAGGTTGACAGGGTCAGTGGCCGTGCTACTTCGGGCTCCGAGTGCACATTGGCTCCAATTCATGCTCACCCTCTGCATTTAAGAAAGAATATTGCTGTTTTCCCTCTTTTGTCATCAGCAGTGATGTCACATATGGCTGTGGCCTATCTGACAGTGTCCACGTGGCACTGTGCACTGTGACAGCTCACAGGAGACAGGAGGGAAGAAATGGACAGGCTTCTCTGCTGTTCCTAAAAGTGACGACAGACACAGCGACCATGGCCTTCTACCAGTTAGCTTTGTCCCTTCCGGGAATATCTGTGAGCAGCTCAGGCAAGGCATTTTTGTAAAAGTTAAGATATAATTGGTGTTTTAAACCAGTAGCCATGATTTTTGAGTTAAGTTCAGTGGAGTCTGAGAGACCACCCAGGGTCTTCAGGGAGCTTCTGTGCTGCTGCAATTATTCACCAAATAGTATGAATGTGCTTCTTTTTTTTTTTTCTTTTTTCAGGGAAAGGATCCAATATTCTTTGTCTATTTTTAGCATCCATGACAGCCTCCTTCAGAAACTTTCTCAAGTTTGACAAGCACTCTGTGAACTGGAAAGGGGTGCAAAGGGACTCTGACATGAGCCGTCAACTTTGAGGACAACTGTGTCCATGTGTTTAAGTGCATTTGCTTTGTTTTTTGTTTTGTTTTGTTTTTTGTTGTTGTTGTTGTTTTGTTTTGTTTTAATACATGGGCCAACTATTTACCTCAGGATATCCTGGAAGTTGCTATATAGCCCAAGGCATCCTCAAACACACTATCCTCCTGCCTCACCCTCCCTGTGCTGGGATTACAGGCTTGTGCCATCATACCGACCATCACTTCTCTTTTTCCAAGCCTGTATTTCCAGCCACAGATCATCCAGATTGCCTATGACTTAATATCGGTGCAGAACAATGGAGAGACTGTAGGCATTTCTTTAAGACAGGCTCTATACTGAACAAACCTGGGACAAGACAGCCAGCAAACCCCCGTGATCTTCCTGTCTTTGCTCCCCTTCCCCTCCCAGCACATCTGGGGATACAAACTTGCATGGCCACACCCAGCTTTGAGCACTTTCTGATGAGCGGTCATGAATTCCTAATCCAGACTTTCAGGTAGCTGCATTACTATAGCCTTGTCAGCTTGTAGCTAGTAATGGTGATGTCTTTTATTTTAATTCACCTTTGTCAATCTCTGCTAATACTCGAATTCCAGAGACTTGTAATGTGGTACTTTGCATCTGAATTAAAGACTTTGTAGACATTTTTTGTGTGTGCATTTTCACACTGTGCTGGTTCGCTTTAAGCCTGTCACTAGAAGACTAAATCTAAGCTGTAAATTTGTGAATGACAAGCATATTAAAACACCGCCCAAGTTTGAGGCCACCATCTGAATCAGAAGTGCACGGAGATAATCACAGGTGAACCGGGCCTTTCGCCAAGGAAATATGGGTGGTGTAGGAGCCTCTCCTTCTGTAGAAGAATACGAAGTCCAGCAAGACCTCACTTTTGACATGTTGTTCTTTTTCTTCCACAGCTATTGTAGTGAGATTTCTGACCAAACGCTTCATCTGGGAATATGATCCAACCCTCGGTATGTCATACGTTATATCCTCTCTTCCTTCTCCAATATGTTTAGGACCCTCAAAATGGGACAGCATGTCTGTGGCACCCTTGCTAAGCCCCTTTTGACTGTTTTGAAGGCATAGTGTTGAATTTGTCATACAGGAAGCCCTCCTAGAGGCCACCACTGGGCATCACCGCTTGTGTTTCGAGCCCTACAGGACTTAGTGCAGAAATGAAGAATTTAAGTCCATTATCAGAGAAGAACCAAATGGCTTCCTCTGGACAGATTTGCCTCTACTTTCATGCCATATAGACCCACACAATTTTATGCATCTGTATAAAATCTGTGACCCACCAGTGAGGGGGAAAAAAAACAACATGGATCTATCTCTGAGGATGCCTTGATTTGTTTAATACAATCATCTCCAGTTGCATCCATTTTCCTGAAATGGCATATCTCTGTTCTTCTGGGTTAGTAGAAAGCATTCTGTTACAATAAGTCTTTCTGCGAAAGGCCGCAGAACCCCACCACCACGTGTGCGCTCTATGCCAGCTGCCCGCCCAAGTTAGGGCCCAAATTAATGCACAGAGAGACTTGTATTAGGTTCAAAGCTGCTTGGCCAATGACTAGGATTCTCATCTGTTAGTCAGTCTTATCATAAATCTATATATGTTATAAGACTCATCTTATCGGACGCCTTATTGGCATCCCTCCTTGCTGGTGGCTCACATCCTGCTGCTGGAGGAGGCGAAGGGAAAAAGGGAACACTTCCTGTTTCCTTGCTTAGATGAGTTTCCTTGCTATGTCACTTCCTGCCTAGATCACCACTTCTCTACTACATTTCCCAGAATCCTCTTTGACTCCTAGTCCTGTCTAACTTGCTGCCATTGGCCAAACAGAACTTTATTTAACAATCAATAAGATAAACATACACAGTACATTCCCCATCAGCATCCCATTGCATGTACACACATTGCTTTGTCTGTTCTTCTGCTGTTGGACAGTTAACTTGCTTCCATAACTCAGCTATTGGGAACAGTAATGAGCTCCTTCACCAGCTCCATGCTGCACTTTGATGAATGGGAGAGTGTATTGTCCCCCTCTGCTCACTGTGGTGCATTTTTCTAGGTCAGTTTCAGAGACTGGGACAGGATTGGCATGACTGATTGTAATTGGCTGAAATTACGAATTATTTCGAAGCCTCGTATTTTATGACGTTCAATCTTTTAGACAGGAGTTTGGCTTATATCCATTTGAAGGATCCTCCTCTGCCTTTGCTTTTTAAAAGACTATCACAAGTGACTTTATTAGTAAATACATAACCATAACTTTCCAGGTTTGTATCTGGATGGAAATATCATCAAATACCTCTGTGAAGATGCACAGAAAAATGAAAAGTTATATGTCAAGACAGTAATATTAGCTATTGAATGAGATGAGAATACAAGGCAATATTTTCTGATTTTGCTTATCTATCTTTCTAACACAAACAGGAAAAGAAAGACACACAAAGACCCACATTTGGAATATAATACGTCTTAGTTAGGATTTCTATTGCTTTGAAGAGACACCACAACCACAACAACTTTTATAAAGGAAAACATGTAATTTGGTTAGCTTACAGTTCAGAGGTTCAGCCCATTATCATCCTGACAGGAAGCATGGCAGCGTGCAGACAGGCACAGCAACGTGCAGACAGGCAGACATGGTGCTGGAGAAGGAGCTGAGGGTTCCACATCTTGACCCAAATGCGGCAGGGAGTTGCCAGTCTCGTTGGGCATGGCTTGAGCATATGTGAGCCCTCAAAGCCACCTCCACAGAGACACCCTTCCTGGAACAAGATTGCACCTACTCCAACAAACAGGCCACACCGCCTAACAGTGCCTCTCTCTCTGGGGGGAGGCATTTTCTTTCAAACCACCCCACAATACTTCCCTGGCTTAAGTTTAAAAAGAGGAGTTAACTCTAATATTTAAAATTTCTAAACTTATTTTATAGGCATGCATTATTGAACAATTCTGTGGGTAGGAACATACAAAAAGTACCCTTTGATTTTGTAGCTTTCTTCCCAGTATATTCTCTGATATTACCACAGGGTTAGGGAGAAGAGTGATTAGTGATTATTTCCTGAGAAAAGACGTTTTCAAATATTTTGTTCATCAATTTTTTTCAGTATACCAATACTCTATATCATTTGGACATAAAGATGAACCTGGCTTTTAAAGGGCACAATTATCTCTTGTCTTTCCCAGCTGTGTAAATTCTCTTGCATTTTTCTCATTTACATAAGTTTTCTAATTGTTATTTGGAACTTCCCACAATTTACGGGAGTTCAGTTGAAAGCTACTTATTCTCCATTCTATCCACACATCACAACAAAGGATGAAGCTTAAAAAAAGACGCCTTTAACTTTCTCTGGGCGTGTTCTAGTAAGGAACGTAACTATTTTTAATTAGTCTTTGGTGAAGCCTGTTCCTTTACTTTTATTCATTCTCAATAGTCACAGATATAAATAGGAATGAGCCTGTGCTGGTTATCTGCAGGCATCCTTCCCTAGGAGGCAGAATGCCACACAATAACCTTGCCCTGTGCTGCTCAGCGAGGACCCTGGCTGCTAAGCAACCAGAGCCTTCTTCCACCTCCAGGAGGAACAGGTGCTTAGCTCACTGGCAGGTGAAGCTGTCATTAACTCACACACTGCAGACTGGGTCTGTGTGGGCGTGTACATTGAAAGCCCGTTAATTTTCTAGCACTCAGGAAACCTCAATCCAGGGGATTCAAGAGAAATTAGCATTTTGGGGCTTAACTTCCCACTCCCATGGGGAAAGATTTGATGTTTGTGGAATTCATGGTTACTTTACAAGTTTCAAAACAACCAGCAACCAAAATAGCTACATTTCAAAGCAGAGTGGCATGTTCTTGAAGGGGAAAGATTAGGGAAGATGGGGGCGTTGTCCTCTTGAGTTTCTGAGTTCAGTCACTTCCTCAGAACTTGAGGAAGTGGGTTTCTTGCTTTGGACTTTTGTTGTTGTTTCATGAAGATCTGGGAACTATGAACACCATCCCACATATTAACAAACGGAATAGAGCCTGCTTTGCTCTTTGTCCTAGATTGGTGTTCTTAAGCTTCGATAAACACTATAACCAAAAGCCACTTGGTGAGGAAAGTGTTTATTTGGATTATGTGTCCCAATCACAGTCCACCCTGAGGGAAGCCAGGAAGGAAACCAAGGCAAAAACTTGAAACATAAACCTTCCCCATGGCTTGCTCAACTATCTTTCTAACCCAGCTCAGGCCCACCTACCTAGGGATGGTGCCACCCACAGTGGTCTGGCCCCTCCTGCATCAATTAGCAATACAAAAAATGCCTCACAGACATGCTTATAAGCCAGTCTGATGGAAGCAATTCCTCAACTGGGGTTTCTTCCTAGAGACAGTGGCCTTGTGTCTACTTTATAATATCCAATCAGAAGACAGTTGTAGTGGCCGGGGAGTCAAGGCTGCTAGACTTCAGAGCCAGTGATTTTATTTGTTTCTTGTTGCTGTTGTGTTTTGTTGAATTTGTTTATAAGAGGGTCTATTATGAGTATTCTAATTAGAGGTACAAGCAAGGGATGGAGGGCGGGTGAAGGGAACCGCTCCTACACTGGGCACCAACAGACTTAAGCTCCCTTTTTACAAAGAGGGTTTTGTTTTGTTGTTGTTTTTTTTCTTTTTCTTTTTCATTTTTAAAATGCAAGTGTTTTGAAGGATGGAGTCTCAGAAAATCCCACAATCCTTTATATGGAATGATTTTCATTTCCCTCAACTTCTTTTCATCTCATTAGCAGATTCTTTGCCAGATTGAGCCCTGGTTTGTTGATAACACCGAAAACTACCCCTGAAATTCATCAGATTTTGGATGTGGCCCATTAATCAGGGAACAGCCTCGAGGGTGGGTAGTGGATTATGGCTTCGGACTAAACAAAATCCATAAATGTCTTGTCCCAATCAAGAGTTGAATCTGTCTTCCAGAGTCATGTTACCCTCAGGGAATGCTGTGAGACACAAGAGTCCAGAGAAAGGCTTCTAACCACACTGAACTGTGTGCATGTCCCTGCTCCTGGGTGTGTGCTGGAGGCCTGGAGAAAGTCAGAGACAGGGTGCTTCTCAGTACTAGTACTAGTGTCCTGGGACAAACAAGATGATGTCCATGGTGTCTGAATGCAGAGTTGCTGTCCTTGTGCACAGCAAAAGTTCAGCCCGGAACAAGAGAAGGAGTCTGGAGACAGAGTAAACCCACTGGCTCATTAATTCTGTTCTTGGTTCCTCTTGCCTGCCTTACAGCCTCTCTGCTTGGAAAGGCTCAGGCAGAGAGACAAGTTCTCCTGACTGGGTGCCGAAGCAGAAGCGCTCAGGCATGCCATAGAACTATTTAGTACCAATACTGCAGGAAAATGGGAGATAGGCATTCCACGAACAAGACCTCATCCAAGATGGCATGATGGGCTTGTAGTCTGGCCAGAACATAACTCAGAACAATTTCCACTATAGTATCAAGCCATGTTGCTAACTGCTGCTGTCACAGCACCAGCCTAGAGGCCACGCTAACATGTTGAAGTGTGATAAAACAGTGTAGTCCAAGAATCATATAAACAGCCGAGTGTCCAACCTTGCTAGAATGTGCAAAATACACTCTGTACACGAGAGTCACGGGATGCATGTTTTTCAAAGGTTTACGTTTATTATTTTTGGTTGTATGTTGGAGAGGGTGGAATTCGAACATGAGTGCAGGTGCCCATTGAGGCTAGAGACATCTGGTTGACCTGGAGAGGAGGTTTTCAGCTGCCTGAAATAAGGGTTTGGTACCAAACAGGGTGCTCTAACTCTTAACCACTGTGCCACTTCTCCAGGCTACTAAAGATGTTTTACGTTGTGTTCCTTCATACATGGGAATCTGAAAGATAATTTTAATATACAAAATTCAATTATGAAACTGATGTTTGTTTTAGAATATAAATTTTTGGGTGCATTTGGCCATAGATCAATCAAACATACCCCCAGCCCTCCAAAGAAAGTACTCCTGCTACCATTCTTGTTAACATAAAGAAAACAGAGCATATGGAAAAAGTGCACACATGCACATCATTTGGTTGTTTTTGTTTTGTTTTATTATTTTTGAGACAAGGTCTGTCTAAATATCCTTGGCTTTCCTGCTACTCACTATGTAGACCAGGCTGGCCTCACCACACCCAGCTTTCTTTTGAATTTTAAAAGGAAGAGTAGAAATAATGTGTTTCGTTAGAATTATGTCAGATAGGCTCACAAATTCATATCCAATACTTTATCTCTTTTGGTAATGTTTTTGATGTCTCGCATGTAGAGAAAATGAGTTCATAGTTAGAGAAAGACACATGAAGGGAAAAATGCTCAAAACAGTGTGAAGACAGTATTCATCTTGGACGAAATTGGTTCACCACCACCCGCTGCTATGTCTGCAGCAGACATTCCCTCATTTCCTGTATTTCATCCCTTTCGTTTCAGTTAACAAACAGCCAAAGAATTGCACAACTTCATGCAAGTTTCATTCTATTCTGTTGCCCCCTGTGGTGGCCTTCTGCAGTTGAGACCTGAGCCCATTTATCGAGGGAGCCACAAAGAGCAGCGCCCTTTCCTCTAAGACAGATTTTGGTGCAGAGCTGGATGGGAGTGTGGGTTTCTGTTTTCCAGGCTGCAAGGCTGATGCCAGCCATTTGAAAAGGAGAGTCAGTACAAAAGGCACAGAAGAACAGCCTGGGGGAAAAACCAGAAGGGCGTGGATGCCCAGCATGTGTGCAGCCAGCTGGACTTCTCCTCGGGCCCAAAGGCTCAAGAAGAAGAAAGGAAACTATTGGGAAAACACTTGCAGAAGACTGGCTGCTGTAAATGGCATTTCAAAGCATTCAGTCACCAAACTAGAACCTCTCATTTAATATAAAAGAGTGCAGGCCTAGGTACTCTTGTTACGTGAGAAACACACAGATGCTACATTAGTTATAAAACTGATGGCCGCTGGCTTGGGCTTCTTATTGGCTAGTTCTATCTTAATTATTAACCCATTTCTATTAATCTATGCATTACCACATGGTCTTATCTTACCGGAGAAGGGTCAGGACCTCTAACTCCTTTGGTGCTTCACATAGCAACTGTACTGGCGGGCCCTTTCTGCCTACCTTTTCCAGAATTCTCCTAGTCCTGCCTGTCTTCCTGCCTCATTGGCCAGTGTTTTATTCATCAACCAATAAGAGAAACATATATACAGGAGGACATCCCCCATTACACTCTTCCCATGAGGCCCCCACATGCTCTCAATGTGTGCATCGAGACTTCCAGGAGTGGGGGGAGAAGCAAAATACATTTATTTAAGTATATTGAATGTAGTCTCATTTTAAAATGAGTTTAAAGTTTAAAAAGGCTTGAGTTATACAGGTTCCGGTGGTGCCCATTCACAGTATTGTTGCTAGATGGCTAAGTCTTGCCCATAGCAAGCTTCCTTTCTGCATTTCATGCCTTAGATAGGCAATTGTTTCCTGTAAGAAAACAGGAAAGTGGCCCCCAAATGCTGCAAAAAGTAGGTGATAAGAAATGAATGAAGGCTGGACGGTGGTGGCACAGATCTTTAATCCCAGCCCCATGAGGCAGAAGCAAGCAGATCTCTGAGTTCAAGGCCAGCCTGGTCTACAAAGTGAGTTCCAGGAAAGCAAAGACTAAATAGGGAAACCCTGTCTTGAAACATCAAAAACAAAAAAAGGAAGGAAGGGAGGAAAGGGGGAAAGAAGGAAGGAACAAAGAAAGGGAGGAAGGGAGGGAGGAAAAGCAAGTCTGGAAGGCAGTGAGATGTGCTGAAGAAAGGAACAAACAAAAACACTGCTTTCTAGTCTAGTCCCCACGAGAGGCAGGCAATGCCAGGCTCATCTACTTGCTTGACTAGCTGTTTCCGAGATCTGCATGCACAAATATGCACTTAGTAATTGTGTTAGACACCTTGCCATCTCTCCAGCACCCTGAATGGAGAGTTTTTAAGTTAGAATTCTTGGTTTTATGAGCCTACAATTTTCCTCAAATTTTGTTTTCTTGTTACTGCTTTTGTACCACTGGCCAGTGGGTTTGGCACCTGTGTCGTGATGCCTTTGTGCTCCCTCCTCGAATCCTTTTTTAATTAATTAATTAGTTAATTAATTAGCTAATTAATTAATTCTGGTTTCCCTCTCCGACTTCGTGGAACTGAGTACTTAGCTCACTTTTCCTAGGCCCCCCACACCCCTTTTCTTTCCTGAAATGTTTGTTAGTTAAACTTGCCTTTGATCTTTGCCTCAACTTCGTCCTGAAAGGACACACGAGGATCGCCTAGGATGCATTACAATTCTGGATTGCTTCTGATGTAGTTTCATTGACTTCTCTTGTGCCACCAGTGTCCTGAACTCGGTTTCACGGAGGGCTTTTCTCAGAGGGCATCACTTGCTGATAAGACAGAAAGCACAATTTGAAATTTTAGTAAGAAATGCGTATAATACATTGATCAATCTTGTTCTTTGTGAAATAAGCCTCGGTGGAGAGAATCAAAGCTACAGGATTGTGGAAACAGGTGAGGTTGTGATGGCTAAGAATTTCCAGGAACAAGAGACAGTAAAACTCTTAAGATAAAAGTATCCAACAGAATGTACCCATTACAGTAAAGGATATTGATGAGGAGTGGGGAAGCCGGGCAGAGTCAGAGAAAAACAGTACACTTCCCATGAAAGGGCGTGGCTCAGTCAACTGGGAGGGGGAGGGAGGGGAGCCCCCAGCGTGACCTCGCCCAGCTCAGTCAGTCACTCTTGGCTCCTCGGTCTGCGCAGCAGTTTTTTTATATGGCAACAGTAGCTGATGGTGCTTTGTTAGTGACTCCACTTACACGATGAGGGGTGTATCCGTGACTATCCAGGCTTCAAGTACCTGGCACTGTCTCATCCCTCGGGGTTTTTGGGGACCACTAAGGACCCAGCAACTGCAGCTGGTACAGAACGGCTGTTATGTTCCGCTTTGATCAGGCAACAAGGAGGAGGAATCTGCATTGTTCCATCTCCCCGCCGTCTGCTCGGACTCTTTATACTTTGGGTTACCACTCTTTAACCACCAAAACAAGCTCCGCTGCCTCCTACTGTCTCAAGGCCCCTGGTACTTTCTCATCACATGTTCAGCCTGTTCCAGCCCAGGGGCCTGATGAGGTTTGGCTTTTTTGTTTGTTCATCTGTAAGTTAAGAAAATAAACGGCCCAGAAGCTCAAGTGTGACAGGAAGCAGTGGGGGAATTCTCAAACCCAGCAGACATACTCAGCTAGTAAAGACAGGCTTTTATTAGCGGTGGGGAAATATGCACAATAAAGCAGACATACAACAGTCATCTGCATCCCAGAGAGGGGACTTCTCAAAAAGCCTTTGAAGGGTTCCCCTCCCTAATCTGGAGTCGGTTGGTTTGAACAAAGACACGATGGCTGATTAGACCACAACTGTTATGTAAACATGTCCTGATCAGTCTTGCCTTGTCAGGTCCATCAGCCAGCAGTGGCATCCTACTGGTGGGAGAAAAAAAAAAGAATGTTTGTTTTAAGCTGCTAGACTTTTGCCTCACTCAGGCCCGGGAGATGGGGACGAAGCCAGCATCTAGGAAGTTCACCATCTTTATCTGTCTGCCTACCATGAAATCTGTCTAAGACCTATCTCTCAATCCTACCCACCTCCCTCTAATGTCTGTGATGTTTAGAGGGTTGAAGTTAGGAAGAGACACCATAGGGTTTTCTGTTATTCTTTTTCGCTGCAGCTGCGGGTGCACAGAAAGAAAACTAGGGATGAACAACCTACTTGGAGTTTATTTACAGGAAGAGGGGGCAGGATGGGGTTGGATTGTCAGCCAACCCAAGAGGAGACAGAGAGGGAGAAGCGGGGAAGCCTGGACCTTTTAAAAGGAAGGGTGCACCTGCGCACTGGGGTTTCACGCATGCGCAGAGTCCTCACGCAGGCTGTAATGGGTGGCAGGTGACGTGGTGATGACTTAGCACATTTTCCTGTGTGTGCCCCGCCTATCGTTAGGGGGGCGGGGTCATCCAGGTGTATGTTCTTACATTTTCTGTAAAAAAGCAAAAATGAAAGCAAAATAAAACAAAACTGGATTTTAGGAGTATCAAGGCTGAATATGTTTTTGTGTAGAAAACGCCCTTTTTGTTTTAGAATGTAGATATCTCGTCCAATATAAGTAGAAAGAAACACTAGGGCAATGGCAGAAGGAGAACAAGATGCAGCCTTGAGGAAAGGATAGAGGACTGGGGCGGAGACAGCTGGAGTTTGGGCCCGGGTAAAGTTCTGGCGAATATTGTGCTGCTTCTTTGTCCTTCTCCTCTTCCCTGGGCAGCCCCACCCCCACCCCTGCATTGCTACAAAGGCAGAAATGCTCCTCCCAGGCCTAATTTCTGACTCCAAGGATCAAATTAAATAGCATATGTGCCTTCTTCATGTTCTCATTCTTTTAGAGTCAACCTACCGACACCAGGCAACCATCGATGATGAAGTTGTTTCTATGGAGATCCTAGATACCGCTGGCCAGGTGAATAGGAATTCAGCTAAGTATTTTCTGCATCAAATAAAAAAAGAGACATGTATGATATGCATAACATTTAAAAAAAAAAAGCTAAGGAATTTTTCTGGGCGTGACTTTTACATGCCTAAAACCCCATACCTTCCATTATCCCAGCACTTTGTATGTCAATGCATGTATACTACTATCTTTGTGCGGATGACCCTGTGCTTCAAGAAGGTACTAGAAATACTACAACATTCACAGACCATCTAGTGTAGACTTCCCCTCTATATTTGGGCGGGGGGAAATGTATTCATATGCTTTTAAAATGCTCAGATGAATTTAAATAAGCTTTCTCTATTGAAAAGAATTACTAATATCCTATTGTAAGGGAAGTCGTTGAGAGAGCACTCTGGTCTGCACTGCTCTCCAAGTCTCTGTGGCCACACATAGGTCTGTGTGTTTCACACTACAGTGTGGAGATGCTTACTTGCTCATCTGGCTGGCAAATTTCCTTTGACATTAGTCAGATCAAATCTTACCAAAGTTTTCGCAGTCTCAGTTCCCAACTATAGAAATGACTGCAAGGGTGAAAGTTAGCTGGCCAGGCATGTCCGTGGAGCTGTAACAATGACCTGTGACCGCCAAGAAGACTTGAGTTAAAGCGTTTAATCCAGGAATTTCTCCTGAAATTAATTATTCCCCTTTCTTTCTCATGAGTCCCTCCTTGTGTATGGACCTCTGTACAGTACTGAACACAACAAGAGGCAGAAGCCTCTAAAAGCAACTGAGCCTATGAAAACAATGCTTTCTTTTCTCTCCTTCCCTTTCATCTTGTCTTTTTCCTTCTCCTTCTTCCTCCTCCTCCTCTGTCTCTCTTCCCCCCCCCACACACAGTCTCATCATCTCACCACGTAGCTCAGGCTAGCCTTGAACATAACCTCCTCTCATCTCTGCTCCCCAAGTACTAGGATCACAAGTGCATGGACCTCCAGACCCAGCCAGCAACCTTTCAGGCAGACTGTGCCAGTTTTCTCTTCCTGGAGAAGTCACCACTCTGACAGTCACTGCAGGAGGAGTCGTTGTTACCACTACTGTATAACTCAGATTGGGGCATCTGGGTGTGTGGGTGGGGATCCTAATCCCCAAGTTTAAGCAGTGCAGTCTATATGTCATTGGTTGTTTTATCTCTAGGGTTACCAATCTTCTACCATCCAAATAGAGAGGATGTTAAAACAATGGGGGTGGGTTGTACTTACTTTCCAAACTAATTAAGAAAGTAAGCTCAACCAGGAAAACAGCCAAGACATGTAATGATAAACAGATACGAGGAGGTGTAATTAAGGGATTATTATGGCAATAGCAGTGCTCAGGTCTCCTGATTGCGGTCTTTCTTTGCCCATAGGAAGACACCATCCAGAGAGAAGGGCACATGCGCTGGGGGGAAGGCTTCGTGCTGGTCTACGACATCACGGACCGAGGGAGCTTTGAAGAAGTGCTGCCGCTGAAGAATGTCTTAGATGAAGTCAAAAAGCCCAAAAACGTAACTCTCATCTTGGTCGGAAACAAGGCCGACTTGGACCACTCCAGACAAGTGAGTACGGAAGAAGGGGAGAAGCTGGCGACAGAATTGGCTTGTGCGTTTTACGAATGTTCCGCCTGCACGGGGGAAGGGAACATCACCGAGGTATTCTACGAGCTCTGCCGAGAGGTGCGTCGCAGGAGAATGGTGCAAGGCAAGACGAGGCGACGCAGCTCCACCACACACGTCAAGCAAGCGATTAACAAGATGCTCACCAAAATCAGTAGTTAGAGGCCCTGCCAAGACGTGCTGAAAATTGAGAAGTTCTTCCTGGCTCTTCTTTTGCCCTTCCAAACACAAGCAAAATATTCTTCCCCTTGTTCTGACTTTGGGAAACATGAGGGTTTCTTGTCTGTTCCTGGTCTGTTACATGCCGGGAAGTTCTCCAGTGTCCTCTTGGTCCTGATGCTGTGACAGTCTCTCCCTTTCCTGCTTGCGTAGGATCCGTGCTAATGTAGTCTGAAGATGTAACCACCAAAGATGCTGAAGTGGCTGGGTTCGCAGAAGCTAATTTTAGGCATCCCTGCCTTGCTTAAATAAGTTGAAATCTTTTCAAAGGCATTTTAAGATTCTGTTTCTTGTAGGATACTGCAAAGGTCGCCATAACATTTTGTGATGTCTAGTGAGAACTTGAGAAGGGTAGCTGAGCTGAGCTTGAGAAGGGTAGTAGAGTTCAATGGGAATAGAACTCTAGTGCCCATTCGAAGTAAGGATTTTTTAAAATTGCAATCTTACTTAAATTGTACAGTTTATCTTTAACCCTTAATTTCATTTTTAGGTTAAAATGTTATCACTGAGTTTTGTTTTGTAATGTAATGGCCCATTTCAATTCAAAATGGTTCTCTCAATGATCTCTATTGGTCCTTACATGCCCAATTCCATTATAATTTCCTTCATAGCAAAAGAAACAAGACCCACAATTCACATCCCGCTGTGTCTTTGCCCCCTGAAGCCTGGGTGTTGGGAAACACCAGGAACCTTTGTACCAAAGCTTGACGTCACTGCATGTTAGTAGAGGAGTTAGAATTAGTGACACCTGGTTTGCGTATTACTCTATTAGCTCTGTAGCGGGAAGATAACCCTCTAAATAAGAAAATTATGCTGCCTAGTTATTATTCCCTATTGGAAACCAACTCTGAATCCCATGCAGTCCGCAGAGTAAAACCTCTGATACAATGAGTTGGCCACATGCGTCCTTAACCTTTTAGCCTTTGGGTAGGATTAATTCCCTTGGAAGAACTGGGGAAAAGAATGGGTGATGAAAATCCATTGTACCTGAATGACCACATAGAACATGGATGCTCAGCTGGTAAAAGGAACTGTGTAACTGCCAAGAGTTTATGGCCCTTTTCTCCATTTCCTGCCCCATATATTAAGATTTGGGCACTTTATTTTCCAAGAAAATATATATCTTTTACATATGTATGTATTTATATGTATACATATAAGCGTGTATACAATTTGTAAGCATTGGAGGCTTTAATTCACCAATGTATTTGAACAATCTGGTGTAACTGACTTTGTTTTATGTGACTATAATAAAAAGTATAATTTTCAGATTCTGTCAAAATTTTTTCGTGACTAGCTTGTAAGTTTAGGCGAGGTTTGGGAAGCATTTGAATTGCAGAAGGAAAAGTCAGTGAGCCCGATTTGAAGAGAAATTAGCTCCTGCTAATAATAAGAGCTGCTACTTTTAGAAAACTTGGGGGTTATTGGGGGCGTTTTGTTCATTTTCTCTCCCAGTCGTCACAATTATCCTAAGACAGTAGTGCTGTGATAACCATAGTGGAGGCACAGCTATTGACATGAGGGGCCATGATGTCACCAAGCCTGCATTGGTGTTTGGAGGGTAGAGCCAGAACATTACCTGAAAGAGAGTCCAACTCCATGGTCCACGCTGTTAGCACACTAGGCAGTTCTTAGCCTTGACTGCAAGCATGAAGACACAAAATAAAGTGATTAAGGGAAAACTTGCCTTCTTATTCTCATCCATTCACTGCAAATAGGTTTATATATGCCAATTATGTAATTTATATAGCCTGCTTGATGGTATATGACCCAAACTTGAGGAATACATTAGAACAATCTAAGAAAGATGATCAAAATCTTCTAAGTAGTACAACCAGCATGGAATGAAAATATGGAGATATGAATGTTACAGTGATTGCAGCGTCCCAAGGGAGTTGCGTGGGGGGGGGACATATTATCATTTTAGAGGAAGACGGAACAGAAAGGTGAAGGAAAGAATTAAAAGTGTGCAAAGAGTAGGAACCAAGAAAGACATAAAAAGCTCATATTCCATCAAGAACAGCAATTAAAAATGAAGCGTTGTTTTCACGCATGCGCATTTGGACAATCCAAAGGGAAAGGAGACAGGGAAAGTTACTGTTTGGGATTCCTAGGCCCAGTCTCTTTCATCCTCACATGTCTTTACTAGGAAATGTAGTTCAGCCAATCCCTGCTAAAAATGACTCTTATGGCAGTGAAAACATGAATGTCAGTTTTGAGTAAAAAAATTAAGGAAGTGGAGCTGGAGAGACGCCCCAGCCATTAAGAGCACTTGTTGCTTTTTTCAGAGGACCCCAGTTTGGTCCCCAGCAACCACATGAAGGTTCACAACTGCCTGTAATTCCGGTTCCAGGGGCTCCAAATCCCTCTTCTGCCCTCCAGGGCCACCATACATATGTTGTGTACATGCGTGCAACCTGGCAAGTACACAACACATAAAATAAAATAAAATAAAATAAAATAAAATAAAATAAAATAAAATAAAATAAAATAAAATAAAGCAAAAGTAATGAAGTCAAGTGCACAGTCAGTGCGGTAACTATGATAGACATGGCATGTAAATGCAGGCGCATATAAAAGGTCAATCTTTTAATTAAAGAGCATGAGAGTTCACCACTACAGCTTAGTTACTCCTCATATCCCAAGCTTCTCCACAAAAAAACCTACAAACAACCCAAGGCTTTATTTTGATGACTGCTAGTGACCTAAGCTTCATTTGCTGGTAAAGATGACTTTCCACATCAAATGCATGCCATTCATGCTGCCCTACTTATTTTTGCATCTCACACCACTGGAAAGAACTAGAGAAAATAGATATAGTGATTTTCCTGACATTGAACAGTGAGCAGTAAGGTACTAATATTCCTGAATGAATGAAGAGTATCAAGGTGAACGCCTGTGACTGTACCAACTTAATGTCAAGTGGCTGACTCAAACAAACAAACAAAAAACAGACTATGCTTCCAATGCTAGACTAGATCCTGGGAGCTCATTGATAGAAAAATCAGAACTTGAGGAGGCCAAGTTCATCAGAATCTGTGGCCCAAGAGATCTGCTAAAGACTGATGTGCAGACTCAGGCTGAAATAAAGGATGACGAAGGTTGTCACCAGCTACTTCCCTCACCATTGTGACCAACACGCAGGAAGAAACAATGCAAGGGAGGGAGGGTTGAATTTTGGCTCATAGTTTAAGTGAATACCGTCCATAATGGCAGGGAATGTGACTGGAAATTGTTCACATCTGGGCTTCAGCCCTTGGGATGACACTGCCTACATTTAGTGTCTCTTCCTCAGTTAATCCTTTCTTAATCTTCTCTGGGGACTCCGAATTGCTGGCGGGAACACACCAAAAGGGATGCCCTTGGTGTTCCTTAATCCAATCAAGTTGATGGTGCAAATTAACCAAAAGAAGAGTGATGTCTCAACGAATGTTGGGAGAAGCATACACAGGACTGGAAACAGTTCACGTTCACATCAGCCACTCTGAAAGGACCTGATAATATACAAACAATACACAGGAGCATAGAAAACCATTGTGTCAATACACAGGGAGTTAGAAGAATGTTGTGTTGGCTGTGAGTCTAAATTATTCCTCACTGCTCACTCCTTTAATAAAACTTTAAAAAAATGTGTGAAGCTGATCAGACTGAATCCAGATAACATTGTTTTTGTTGTTGCTGTTATTGTTCTAGAAAAATATCTAACATCCTATTACAGAAGTATACAAGCAAATTCTGTGTTTGACAAAATTGAAACTCAAGATGGCTGACATCTGGTTTTAGATTCTCTACACAAAGAGGCAAGAAAATGTGACCTCGAAATAGGATTAAAACCCAGTCAATAGAGACAGACCAAGGTGAGAGCAGCTGTCGCCATCCAGCAAGGAAATGAAGACAGCTTTACAGATGTGCTCCATGTCTTCCTGAAGGTAAAGAAAGCTCTGAGCATAACAGGGACAGGTGAAAAGGACCAGCACGAGATGAAAGTGATTTCCATCTGAAAAGATAAAGGACTGAGTTCGGCTGTCATCAGACTGGATGCTGAAGAAACGCCATCCAAAGAGATGACGGAACAATTGAAGTGAAACAATGAGGAAGAAAGGTCATTGACCCTCGACAGACTCTCTTAGAGAAAAGCAATCAGAGCAACAAAGGATACGATTGAGCTCCCAGAAGTCGAGGTTACTAATGGCGGGGCAAAAACTAGTAGCAGGCTGGAGAGAAGGCTCCGTGGTTAAGAGCACAGGCTGCTCTTCCAGAGGATCCAGGGTTGATTCCCAGCACCCACATGGCAGCTCACAATTGTCTCTAACTCTAGATCCACGGAATCCCACATCCTATTTTAACTTCTGTGAGCACCAGGCAAACAAGTGGTACATAGACATAAATGCAGGCACAACACTCATACATGTAAAATAATTTAACAAAAACTCTAACGAGTAACAATTGAAAAAAATAATCACTAAAAAAAAAAAAAAACAGCAACCTCTAAACTTTCAGATCTAAAGAACTGGAAAGACTCTAGGAGTAAAATACTCAAAGATATTAATAACGTAATTGTTGAAATCAAATTGATGAAAGACAACGATAAGGAGAAAACTTTAAAAGAAACTAAGCGAGCAGGAGATACGTATTACCTACATAGGACCAAGGATAGGAGTGATGGGTAGACTGGGGGAGATTAGAGTGGAATACTTTATTTAAACTATTGGAAGAAAAAATAGCTTCAAATGACATTACAAGCTAAAGTATTTTTCACCAGCAAAGGTTAGAAAACCCTAACCCATGAAAACCCTAACCCATGAAAACAAGACCAAAGAGAATTTTCTGTGGACAGGTTTATTCTATCAGGAAAGTCAAAGGTGTGCTTAGGCAGGAAGGAACTACCCCAACAGCAATGCACATCTGCAGAGAAAACGAATTGTACTGGAAATGCAGTTGCTCTCTGTCCCAGTGTCTTTTCTGTTGCTTTAATAAAATATTCAGCCAAAAGCAACTTAAGGGAGATTTCAAGTTAAAGGCCATTATTGTGGGGAAGTCAAGGCAGCAAGAGTGGGAAGTGGTTGGTCACATGACATCTACTGGTATGAGCAGAGAGAAATCAATGCATGCATTTGAGGTGCTAAACTCGATTTCTCTGCTCATAGAGCCCAGGGTCTCAACTCCACAGAATAGTGCCACCCATCTATAGGCTGGGACTTCTCATAGCAATTAAGGAGATCAAGACAATCCCCATAGACATACCCGAGGGTCAGATTGATCTAGCCAATCCTTTACTGAGACTCAGTTAGCAGATGGCGATTCTAGGTTGATTCAAACTGAAAATTAAAAAGAACCATCACGATGTCTGTGCTCAGAGCTGAGAGGCCCAGTGGCAGCTTCTGTTCATTGAGGGCTCCAGACAGGGTACCTGCTGTGAGGCCAGCTGGATGAGCCACCTCATGACCTGCCTAAAAGAATGGTTCCTCATAGGTTGCCATCTTACATCTTTCTGATCTTAAGAAAGTATCAATATTTTATACTAAAATAATAATTTTACTTAAATCCCCTGTGCTGAAAATAACTTTCCTTATTCTATAA